CAGCAAGCCAAGCTGAAATGGCGTTCTCCTACTTCAGAAGCCAGTCTGAGATTCTTACTGCTCCAGAAACAAAGTGCTAAAGGGAGTTTAAGAAATACATACTTACGGACAGTGCAATGGAATGATCTATGAACAGGTTGCCCAAAGAATTGTGGATGCCCCATCCCTGGAAGAGTTCAAAACCAGGCTGGATGAGGTCCTGGGCAGCCTGATCTGGTAGGAGGCAACCAGTCCACAGCAGAGGGTTGGAACTGGATGATCTGTAAAATATTTCCAACCTGAGCCATTCTATGATTCTCTGTTGACCACAAAGTCTGAGGGAGCATGCTGACAGCCTGCTGCTCAGTGCAGAAGCATGGTGATGGCACAAGGATGGACATCACCATCACCTGAACCTGGGTTGCTTCTGTCCTCAAGTTTTGGCACTGGGGACCTAGTTCAGCATTCAATTTTGCTCACTCCTGAGCAAAATTCCTCCTCAGCTAAGTCATGCAGAATCAAACTGTTCTGCTAATGCAAATCAGGTTTCAATAAACTCCCTGGAATTTCACTAGTGTGGCCCCTGCTTTTATAGCTCTGGCTCAGTGAAGCATTTGAATGAACACATAGTTCTGAAGTTCACTTAATTGATGCTGGCTCACCTCTCCTCAAGTTCTTTGCTTAATAGGAGTCAAAGAGTTAGACATAACATTCTATGCATTAAGGCAAAACTAGCCTTTAGCATTTGTATTGACACCAAACAGATAATACTGAAAAGTGAGAAAGAAGTGCAAGTTTATCATAAGTCCTTTTGCAGACATGGCCAAAAAAAAGCCATCCAATACTACTGATGCCCACAGATGTGGATTTCAGAGTGTGCGACAAACATAAATTTTCTTTGCAAGACCCATTGTGCTCATGAAGAAAATATACAATATCCTCTTCCAATTTCTTTGCTCTGCAGGTTGATTTTTAATGACTGCATAGATCTCTGACAAAATATGTCTATGTGAATATCACATTAAATGATGGGGAAATAAGTGTTGGCTGTCCAGCTACCAAACACATGAATGAAAGCTGAAAGCTGGAATGGTTAATAAGCAGACACAACAGATCACAGGGCTCATTTTTTAGATGGATTATCTGACACAGTGTCAGCTGGATTAATGAATATCTGATGTTAAAAAACATTTTTAGGCCACAGTTCTCATCTCACATACAGCAGTATAATGAAGGAATAATTCTCTTGGAACAAATGCCATTACTGGGGTGAGATCAGATTCATTCCTTTAGGTTTCAAGCCAGCTTTGATTGCTATCTGTACAAAGACTCCTGCTGAACTCAAATGAACAAAAAACAAATGCAGAAATCCAAGTGGCATAGATACAAATTATATACATTTATTTTTATTCATTTTAAATAACATTCTTCTGTATAAATTCTGACATATATTCAAATCATACACTTTTTTTTTTTTCTAGAAATGCATTTGTAAGCATAGCATATGCTTAGGAGACGCCTTATTTGGATGTGTAGTAAGACTGATGGGTTTCAGTTGGGAGCAAGTACAAGGCCCACATTTTTCTGATTTTAATCCATTCCTCTGACATACAAAGAGCAGAATCCTGTGGGAGCTCATTTCAAAACTTCATTTTAACAAGAAATGTATTTTTAGGATACAATCTTAAAACCATTACTTAAAGGAGACTGTGCAAATTATCTGCCACATTTACATTGCATTTAACATTTATGATAAGACACTGTATAGCAGTGGTTAACTGGCCCAGGATACCTGAAGGATGCTGAATACATCCTCTTCTCTTTTGAAAAAAGGCATCCAGTGTGCTAAGTTTGCTCAGCCTGGTCCAAGGCAATTATCATTCCAATGGATGACATCTCCTGACAGCTCCCCAGGGCTACTGCTCCATGCAGTTATTTCTAGCTACAGTGGTTCCTAAGATTTAAGATCATCCACTCACATTAACCCAATCATACTTTTGCATGTCTGCTGCACTTTGCTTACCAAATGCTCTCCTAAATTGTGAGCCAGCCAGGCTGCCCCATGCCTTTGACACATGATTGCTTTTTGCCCTTTATCTGCTCCATTATATCCTCTTGCCTTCAGTTATTTGTGGAACTGAACTCACCCCATCCAGACCAGCTGGATCCACAGAGCCTCACAACTCCGAGGATCGTGCCTGCAGAGCTGGCTTCCCACCCTTACTCATCTCATCGTACCTTTTCTGTGTTCTCCAGCTACCGTACCATCCCACCACTGCCTCTCCCCACAGTGGTCACACCACTGCAGCCAGACAGTGGTATGGACCATTAAAAATGAAAGCTCTGGGTATCTGTATTGCTACATCAGCCCTACAAGTTGTCTAAATGCCTTTGTCTTTTCTTGATAGACACTGAGTTGGGCCCCAGCGCTGCCCTGTAAGTCCATTCTGGCTAATCTACCCATGGCATTTGCAAACCTCAGCATCTGGGAAGCTTCATGACAAGTTACAACATAGGAAGGCTGATGGTCCTGGTGGCCTTTAGTACCTGGCGCAGGTATTTTGGCTCTGCACTCCATCCACAAGTGATGCCAACCCAAGCTGACTGGAGATGTAACTTGCTCGACTTCTCCTTTGCCTTTCACACTGCCTGGGGGATGACTGTATGATTGACAGAGGCAGCAAGGAGAACCTAATCTCAGATCAGAGTCAAACATGAAGCTGTTTATTCTTTCTTTGCTGGGGTATCCCTTTATAAATATCATTCCTCCACACCAAAGTTCTGGCTGGCTGGAGATGGCTGGTCCACCCTGCTAAGTCAGCTTGCAATCTGACAAACACTGTCCCACTGCCACATCCTTTCTGTGCTTTCCTCTGCTGTCCAAACCTGGGCAGCCTGGCCCCAGCCCAGCCATTCTTCTCATCACAGCTGCAGAGGCCATCTAGATCCCTTTGTCCAGATGTTCAACCCCCACAGACCACGGCTGCATCACTCTCCTTTGCATAAGGCATCCTGACCTCCTCGTCTTTTCAAACTCAGGGCTAAAACACAAAGCTCTTACAGTTCTGGAGGCCAGAAGCAACCCAGACACAAACACCTCCCTTTGCAGTGCATGGGATGGGAGGGCTTAGCACCTGAACTCACGCTCCAGTTCACAGATGGTTGGTATTTTTAAAGCCAGAAAAAAATTAAACGCTATTCCAGGTACAAGGTAGCTTACTGTCTTACCAAATCTGGGGAAGAGGTGTTTTGTGGCAAAGAGGATAACATCTACTAAAATGTTCTGGAAACATTAGAGTGAACAACCCATCCTTCACTTCACCTGCTAGCATTAGTCCCAGAAGCTAACAGTTCCTAAATTACCTTTCCCCACCCTATGAAGTGACCAAGTGCAAGCGTATCGCAAAATGAGCACTGTCAAATAATTACAATTTTTAGGAAATTCTCTATTTGTTACCACTCTGCTCTTTAAAAGCTGGAAGAATAACTCAACAATGAGCAATATCCAGATTTTCTCCTCTGTTTCTCCTCCATTTCATAACTAAATGTAGCACTGCTCGAACTTCAGCCCAATTTATAGAACTACAGGACCTCACCCAGGCCCATAGCAGGCAGCAGGATCTCTTCCACATTCCTCTATGCAATACCACATTCTCCTCTCACCATTTCTCACCATCCTCTTGGCTATTCTCCTTCCTTGCTGTGCCTCACCTTTAAATCAAGCAACAAGCTTTTGAAGCAGAAATGGCATCTTTGTGCTTGTGTTTAAAGCACCTATTCCCCACTCCCCCAAAAGTCTCCAAAGATAAGAAAAGCCTCCATGCAGCAAATAAATAATCACCATATTCTTCCTACCATTTCTCATGCTGAGAAATATTTATTTTGCCCGGCTCTGAGGATGCATCAGCCAGCTCCTGCTGACCCTTAGCAGGTACTTCATTCCTCCTCAGCACCAATCACTTGCAGAGCACCAACACGTACAGTGATGCAGCTTTGTTTTGGAGGTCGCCTGTGAGTTGAGTGTAATATTTGTGCATATCCAGCATAACGCTATTGATTTACATGGGGCTGGCCCAGCAGTACCAGCAAGGTGCCCCATGGCACGACTTCCCCACACTGTGCTGCCCATTTGCTGTTCTTTCTGTGCCAACAGTCTGCCAGGCCCATTGAAAAATCAGGGGAACCTATAAAACCCAGTCCCCTTGTAGTGATTCTCCTCCACCACCTTGTGCTACATGAATTTCCTGAAAGCATCCATGCACTTTCAGCTTTTAAGGCCAGAAGTGCAAATCGGTTTCTGCGAGTATTGTGACTGAAAGCCATTTCCACCCAAATCCAGGCAATTTTTGCCTTCATCCTTCAAGAAAAGCCAGCAGGCTGCACCCAGCCATAGCCATCACCGTGTCCACATGGGAGGAACAGCACCAAGATCCCAAACGTGAGGAGCTTCAGGAAAGCTTGGTCATTGAGAGCAGGCTCTCAATGCATCCATGCCAGTGTATTTGCATCTTGTACAGAGACTTAAAAACAAGTAACAAAAAGGTACATCTGCCTGTTGGACACCTCCAGGCTCTATTTGTGGCAACACTGGCTATTCGCTCAGTATTTAAAGGAATAGGGAAATTTGACAGATGCAAGTAGGGAGCACTCACATTTTCTCTAAAAAACAAAGTTATTCAATGACACACTAGAAGAAAAGCTTTAAGCAGTGGGTGTTTGCCAGAGTCCCAGCTCTGACAATATTGCCATCTAATTTACAGTATTTTAAACAACCTCTTTTTTTTTTTTTTTTCTTTTTAAACAATGCCACTAACCACTGTACAATTAAAATCTAGATGATAAAATATGACTGGGGAATAGAGGAGGTTGGGGAGGGGTCCACGGTTTTGCTGTTGGTTTTTTTGGTTGTTTGTCTTTTTTTACAAATAATTACAAATACAGTTCCAAGAAGATATATTACATTTTATATACAGAACACACCATTGCTATCAGGGTAGGGTATTAAGCCTAGCTTTTATTTGTACACAGCAACCCTGAGATGTCTTGTCGTCTTCCCTTGCACAGAAACTATACAAGTTCATTAACCTCTTCTAGAAAAAAAAAAAAAAAGTGGATTGCTATGTTTTAATAGCATCATCACCCTGTATAAATACTCAGAAAGGGAAAAGCTTACTCTCCTCCCTAACTCCAATATTTTTGTGATATTTTTTCCCGTTTCCCAGCTTTGTGGAAACTGTTAATGGTGACTTTTGTTCAAGTGTGCAACTCACTCCTCTACTTGCTTGGTAGTACAATAAACAATCATTTCCCATTTTTTGTCCTCCTTTTCAAGCAAATTCACATCAGGAAGTAATACAAAGCCTTTACAAAGGTCTGTTTCCTGAAAATCCACTGTTAATTCATAAGCTACTTTTCAAGCTAAAGATGCAGGCATAAGTGTTAGGTTGGCTGGAAACAGAGTAGCTTCTGATTAATGGGGCATTGCTTTCACTGCCCCATCACCTCTACGTAAAAAGGATATTTTAAAATCAGCATAATCGAGTCTTTACCGACAGTGAATTATATTATGGGTCCTTATGGAGAACAACACACTGAATGCACTTCACCACATTACCTGACATTCGGACGTACTACACCTTCCTCCTGTTCACCTGCGAGCTACAGCATGCCCAGCTAAGAGTATCTGAAGAGCAAATTCCTCTGCACGGAGCCTTGGCACGGATCCTGATACCCCTTCAACAAGCTCTGTAACTTCTTTAAGCCAACTCTGGAACAGCTGGATTGCTTCCTCTTCTAAGCTTTAAAATTGTGCATGGGAGTCGTCAGCGTCAGCTGTCCATTCGGTGCCACTTCATTCCCATCATCTTCCAGCAGCCCCGAAACATCAGCGTTGGGGATGCTGTCGTGGTAGCTACTGAAGCTGATGTTGTCCTCTTTGAGTTCAATGGTCCAAAAAGGAGCATTAAGTTTTCTGTTTTGATACTCACGGTACATATAGACAGCACCCACAAAGCCCATTAGTAGGACCACGACAATGATGATGACTGTCAAAATAATTATATTAAACTGAGTCCAAGAAACATCTGCAAAAGCAGAGGTACTATTGTCAGAGGAACTTAAAGGGAATATAGTCTGTATAGTTGTTGGTGACAATGTACTGTTTGTCACTGCAGTTGGAAGTGACGTTGCCTTGCTAGTGTTCGGAGCAGGACTTATAAACTCTGTTATTTCTGGGCCAAGAGTGGCTTCTACAAAACAAAAAACAAAACAGATGCAATCAATAAAGAAACACGATAAACTGCAATCAAACACACTCTTATGTAACAGTTATTATGTCAATCAAATCTACACTGCTAAAGCTGGATGTTTTGCAAAATGCTCACAAAAAAGGTTAGCCAGAGATTTTTAAAATAAATCTGTGTGCTAAGTGCTCCCTGACAGCAGAGATCCTGTGAAAATCCGGAGATGGACAGCTGAGTTTATGACCCAAAGACAGACAACAAGTGCACTAACCAAGATTCAATGCTAGATACATGACCGTGATGAAAGTAAGCCACCTGGTCCAGCTCATACTTAGCACATGAAAATGGGACTCCACCAGGCACAGCAAGAATTTGAGCTTCAGCCCAACAAAGGCAGAGCCTCACTGCAGCAATGGGGCTGGCACAGCACTGTGCACCTTAACAGAACACTACAGCCAGGATTTATGTTTGTCTTGCCTGTGCAAGATCAAGAGAAAACAATGATCCATCAGTATTCTGCTGTCACAGTGCTCAGTACTGGGTTTCAGCAGTTACACTGTGATATGTAAAAGGGCAAAACAATCCCAGTTCTGCTTTCAAATGAAGTCATACACAAACCTCAGGAATCCCTGAGTCGAGACAACCAGAGGTAGAGGGTAGCTGAACTGCAACTAAAGAATGCTTTGGATGCTCTCCTGAAGCCTGCAAACACATGGGAAGCCAGCCCAGATCCTGTTTTAGTCTCTGCTGCAGGCACATGTCCACACGCAAAGGACAAAACCATGGGGACAAGCAGAGGGCCTTTCCAACACCACCCCCCTCAGCAGCCAAGGAGCTGCCCTCCCTGCAGGTTAGCTCCCTGCCCAGAGCTGAGACAGCCTGAAGGGAACGCTGGAGATCTCCAAGGTGGGAAAACACAGCGATTAAGCCTTCTTCAAAGCCACTGAGCTTGAGGCCTCAGAAAGCACCATAAGAACTTGAGTATCTTTCAAAATGTGACTATAATGAAGTATTTTCTTCACAGGAGTAACCTGTGAATCTATTTTAGACTCTTAAGTAAAAGCAGTAAGAATCTTCCAGAAGCTGAAACCTCAATCAATCAAAATGTACTCGACACCCATTGTTCCACAGAACTTTCTGCACCCTCTTTTCCTTCCTTTTTCCATTTCTGCTATCAGAAACACAACTTCATCTGAAACCCACTTACAGCTGCAGCAATTACAGCTGATGGTGCTGCGCTGTATTGATTCAGCTCTCCTGGAGAGTCTGCTAATGATGACTGAGGAGAGAGGAGCCACATCTGAAAGAGTCATTTCGCACAAAGTTGCATCTCCAATGGCAACAGGAGCTGCTCATATTGAGCATGTCTCCAGCCACGGGCCCTCAGGGGAACTCCCAAGAGTTAACTTTGGATTGATGGATTCCCAGGTCAGGCGACGGAGAAAGAAATTCCTCTGAAAGAGGCAGCATGAACCTAACTCAGGCTCCTGCTTTGAGTCCTCCCTGCAGCAGCTTCTCTTTTCACTGCAGGTGCTGCATTAGGTTGATAAGGATGCTGGGTGACAGAAGGCACTTCTTTATGGGTTAATGGGCAGAATCTAGTAATAGGAAGGAAAATGACGGGAGCAAGAGATTCCCGGATACAGCTTTAGGAGAAGGGCATGAGGAATTCAGTCATTCTTTCCAAATTCCTTCATCAATACTTAATTCTTGGCAAATCCGGACAGTAGCTATAATTAGCAAAAACAGAACTGAGACAATGGCTGATTCACCAGCAAGGAAACAGGACTTTTCAGGGCCTTATATGTGAGTCAGCACCAGCTAAGTGCTGGCAAGGGTGTCCCGGGTGAAAACATATCCTGGAACTGATGACAACATCATAGGAAACAGTGCCATGCTCTGACAGCGGACTGCAGCTTCTGAGCCACAACAAAGGTGCCTGTTTCTGCTCGGCAAGGCCGTGCCAGCCCTCCAGATGTCTTAGGCCTGCTCCTTGAGAGCAGCAGCTGTTCAATCAATGGGCAGCTTTGGCAGCTTCATCACGAGCATCATATCCAGCTGCTCTGCTCACCCACAACTTCTGCAAAGCTGCCACTAACTCGTGCCATGAGTGAGCTCCAGGAAGCCAGGGCTGCGCCTGCAGCGTTTAAGGCAGACAGTGATGCTCTGCAGGATGGCATCCCCAGTTTTGGCTTCCTCTGTGCCCTGTTGCACCTCAGCACTGCAGCAGGATCAGCAGCCATCTAGGGATCCAAACCTTCTACTTTGGTCATCCCATGTGACTCTTGACTGTTCTCCCGAGCTGCTGCTAAAGCATCCCACCTGGTAAGGTTTGCAAATGATCCATATGGAAAGACGAGGTTGGTTTTAGCCTTGCCCAAGGAGTGCAAAGTGTGTTGTCATATCAACTCTGTTGGCTTAACAGAGCCTCAGAGCCCAACAATTTCATCTGCAGATCTGGTGAGGATTTCACTCCAGAAACCACTCCAAACTAGGTCACTCAAACACACCAGTGGTTTGTGAAAATGTCATTCTAAACTAGTTAATGCACAGTACCCTCAGCAAGTCAGTTTTTAGACAAGTGAAAGAAACTGTCAGAAAGAGAAAAAACAGGTGTCAAGGAAACAGGAAAGCTAGATGAACACGTCTCTGTCCCTTTGAACAGAGACAATCTTCTCCTACATCAGGAACTGGCTTAACAATGTCCTTAAAATAAAACAAATTGCAGTGAAAGCTGCAAGTATACAAGCAAAATCATGCATATGGATTTTAATGGAGCAAGGTCACATAGTTCTTTGTACGATGGCAGAGCTGTGCAGAGCTAGATAATGGATGACCCAATGCAAAACTGTCGTTTCCAGCCCTGCATCTGCAAAGTTAGAGCTAATGAGCATTCAACTTTCTTTGTATTGATCATCTCCCTGCACAGAGGGCTCAGTGATTGCACCTCCAGAGAGCAGCATGGGAGTAAAAACCACATTAGCTCCTAATGGAAGATCTGGATTAAATCTCTGTTGGTGACAAAGATGAATTTGGGTCCAGGTACACTTCCTGAACAATGGGTTCTCTTACCTAACACATAAGAGCGCTGGAACTGTGTCTATGCACGGAGCTGGAGATCCACCTTGAGGAACAATGATATCCACTGATATATTCAATGGATATCCTAATATCCACTGGATTGGTAGTGTAAGAACTACCTTCTGTGATTTTACTCTGAGTTTCACTATACACTAGCTTTTCTAAGTACCAGAGCCAGCTTGCACCTGAGGGTGCCACATGCAGCATCTCAGATGCACACTGAAGACAGATGAGAGAGAGAGTGGTGAGGTACTGGAACAGCGGCCCAGAGAGGCTGTGGATGCCCCGTCCCTGGAAGTGTTCAAGGCCAGATTGAATGGGGCCCTGGGCAGCCTGGTCTAGCATTAAATGAGGAGGTCGGTGGCCCTGCATGTGGCAGGGGGTTGGAGATTCATGATCCTTGAGGTCCCTTCCAACCCTGGCCATTCTGTGATTCTGCAAGAGACTCCAGAGCAAGTACCACTAAGTTCCGGCATTCATTTGCTGCATAAGCCCAGCTCTTGCCTCTCAGGGAAGATTCAGCTTCCCCATTTACAAAGCCAAAACAAGAATATCTAGATTAGTTCTGAGTTGGTCACTATTTGCACAATATAAGGGGAGACAAAAGTTATTATGAATGCTCTTTGCATGGAACTAAACAATGCACTGAAATGGATTGGTCAAACTGGGGCCCTGGGCAGCCTGGTGGTTGGCAACCCTGTTCATGGCAGGGGAGCTTGAGTCTGATGGTCTTTAGAGGTCCCTTCCAACCCAAACCATTCTGTGAGTCTGGGCAATTCATTGGGCACTAGGAGCTCAAATACGTAAAGCAAGAGAAATCTGAAAATCTACATTTCAATACACTGCAAGTAGATTCCTCCTCAGCACACTGTCTTGACCTGTCTGGGAAACTTAAGGTATCTGCAGAATGCTGAGGGCAAGCAGCACATCAGGCGCATCCATCACTGCTGCTTGTTTCAATACTGGCTGCATTGAGCTTCTGGTAATGGAGGACAAATCTTCCCACAGAAGTCTTCCCCAGGCCCCACCATGAGCTATACCTTTTGGAGGCATGGGGTTCATTGTTTTCCCTGGGAGATTTCAAAGCTGCTCCCTCCTCAGTCCAAACCCACCGCATGAGCCATTACCAGCACCCCCTCCCCAGCCTCCAGGCAGCTCATGCGCATCTGACGCACGCAGCAGGCTTCAGCCCCAAGCCCAGGAGCACATTTTACCTTTCCTGGTGCAGTTGATTCCCTCGGGGTCCCTGACATAGCCGTCCTCACACTCGTGGCAGTGGAAGCCAGCAGTGTGGTACAGGCACCCGATGCACTCGCCACTCTCTGGTTTGCAGATGCTGGGGGACAGTGTGGGGTCCACATTCCCATTGCACTGGCACCTGACACAGATGCTGTCGGAGTTGTAGTAGCCATTGGCACACTGGTTGCAGTTGGGGCCAGTGTAGCCAACTTTGCACTTGTCACACGTTGGGGCAGCTTCACCAGGCTCTGCAGAATACAGAAAGAAGAAGAGGTGTGTTCCATAGCCCCTCTCTGTGGGGTTTGTTCTGTGGGACTGTCTGACTGACTTCTAAGACAAACATCAGTGGCCACTGACTGTTAATCAATCTCAAATTTTAAGCTATAAATATAATTCTTTAACTGCAGCATTTTCTGTTTCTAGGGAGAATAAAAAGCTTTGTGGGTTTCTGATGCCTCGTACCAGCATCACAGAGCATGCTCGACATGTTGCTAAGCAAACATGCCTGCTCCTGAATATCTCCATCTCAAGCAGCCAGTTTCAGGAAAACAGCTGGATCGAGGCTGCCAGCAATCTGCAGCAACCTGGTGGCACTGCTTCCAGCAAGATGCCCCGGTCCCAGCACAGGGAGACCCAGCGGCTACAAGTCGGCCCCATGGCCGTTGCACACTGAGCAGCAATTTAACTGAAACACATTGAGAAGAGCTCAGACCAAGAGGAATCAGACCAAAAGGAAAGGCTTACGGATCTGGCAGGTGCCGGTCGATGCCACGGTGGAGCAGGGGCAGCGGTGGCAGCTGTGGGCGCTCCTGTAGAAGCCACTCCTGCAGAGCTCGCAGTGCTTCCCCTCCGTGTTGCCCTGGCAGTGCAGGCAGGTGCCTGGGGACAGAGCACAGCAGCCAGTTGGCACCAGAACTGGAGCAGAGCATTTGGAGCATGAACCCACGTGGTGTGCTTGCAATTAGCAGAGCTCACAGGTGATTCAGGATGCCCTCCAGCCAAAACACGATCCTGGGACTTGCCTTGGACTCTTATGACCTTTTGACAGTGTTCCACACACACAGATAATGTGAAAAAGTAGGTAGCCTCAACAAAGGTGCCCACAGCTCAAAGTCAAGGCAGGTAAACACATGCCATCAATATTAAATATTCCCCAACAGAAGGGGTTTGGAGCAGTATCTGTGACAGCAAGCCAGTATCACAATGCTTAAACTCTCACTTTTGCAAGGGGATTTCCCTCCAGCTTATGCCTTTGCCCCTTTTTGTGTTCCCACACTTCAGAGCTGATAAACAAATGCCACTGCACTATTGTGGGGGCCAACAGCTGCATCCCACCTGTGTGGATCCAGCTCCCCCCATTCCTAGCACAGGAGGAACATTTGTCATGGGCACAAGCCAGCAGCAATCGGTGACCTTCCTGCGGGGACGGAGGAGACCTGCCAGGGGAAGCCCCTGAATCAGAAAACTGACAAGCTGTGTCTCATGGAAGCTGTGTCCTAATGGCCCTCTAAATTGCATTTTGATATTATTGTGAACAGAGAAAGAAAAATCAACCACAAGGCCATCCATCAACGGGAACATCCTGTAATTCAGCAGGCTCCTCTTGGAGGTGGTGGTGACCTGAGGGATGCTTATTTGATTAAATCCCCTGCACAACACTCTAAAAATGCAACAGCCTCCTTGCAACAACCCAGGCTAGCACTGCACATCCACTGCACCTCTGAGCACTGACAGAAGGTTCCCCAAGCTACGCCAGCAGTGCTGCTCCTATCAGTGCTAACCACATCTAATATCCTGAACTGGTTTAATGCTGGCTATTAACATAACCACAGCAGATTTTCTCATTAATTTTGAAGCAGTTTGGCTCCCATGCAAGCCCACTGCATGGCTCCTGCTTCTCTCCTTGCACAGCGATGACTTTGCAGCAGAGCATCCCAAGCCCAGCACCAAGGAGACGAAGCAAACCCTGGTTAGCTGCTGGACTGGGGAAGTGGCTGATTCACCCACAGCAGCGCTGACAGCACCCTGGTAAGTCAGAATGTTTGCTCGGCATCAGCTCCCACACACTGTTTGCTCTGCTCCCGGCTGCCTGCCAGACACGAGCTGGTGGCTTTTGTGGGAGAGGTGCAAAGTTAGAGGGGAAATCACCTCCTGCTCTCATTTCCCACAGCTGCAGCCCTCAATCAGCTGCTCTGCCACGCTGCCCTGTGCAAAGCCACTGCTGGAAAGCCAGTGTGCTCCATCAGCACCGAGGGTGCCTTGAACTGTGCTCTGCAGGCTTCAGTGGGGCATAAATCTGGGCTCACACCTGCGTGTTCTGTACAGCTGTGGTCATTTCAAGCCCACTGTCTTTCCTGCCTGTGGAAATTACCAGCATTTATCTGCCCTGTGAAATGGCTGCGCTTCCAATGAGTCAGCAGGTTGCTCAGCCATGCACAGCAATCGAGTATCAATGTTGGAAAGCCTTAATAATTAATAGCTCTTTCCACCCTGATAACACCCCGGGGACGGCTCAGGGCTGGCTGTACCCCAGCTGGATACAACAGAAGCCGCACTGCCCCAACACCATGCATGATGGTCTCAGTGGAGGAAGCAAGGCCACATGGGGACTTCTGGCTGTCCAATTTCCAGCCCAGTAATTCCAAATATTCCTCCTGGGCAGAGCTGAGCTGAGACAGGCTGTGAGGAGCCGCCAGGGGGAGCCCAAAGGACAGCATTAATGCGGAAAAAAACCTTGAAAATTTGACAAAGACTGCACACAGTTGATGTGAAGCTGGGGAGGTCACACAAAGTGCAGTCTCTAGAGCAGGCTGAGAGCACTGTGTTACTTGTTAGACGTCGGAGCTCGTTTTCATCGACTGTTCTCTGTTCTGGTTTTGTTGGGTTCCCCAATCTCCAGCAGCAAATAAAGCAGATAGAGGAAAAGGGAGGAAAAAAAAAAGGATTTTTGTCAAATCAACAATAGCTCATTAACTGAAATGAGAGTTTTTCTTTGCAGAGCTGCAGAGGCCAGGGCTGTAAACTGGGGTTTGAATCAAGAGAGGGGGATCATCGTGGGAGAAGAAGGAAGAGCAGATTATCTCACTCCTTCACAAAACCCACACAGCCAGCTCCAGATCAGCATCGGAGATGAAGTGTGCACAGCTTTAGCTACAAGCCCATATCCTGCAATATCAAGAGGACATAAAACCATGCTTGAAGTTCAGAGTAGGAATGAATGAATTCAATTCCGAGGAGTGCAGACCCAGAACATGCCCATGGAAGCAGGAGTAGGGCATCCTGCAGGAGCAGGTGCCAAAACTGCCCCAGATCACCATATCGATAAGCTCTGCCTCTCTGTCAGCTATTAAGAAAAGGGCAGCATGTCTGAAATGACTGCTCCTTGATAAGCTCCTGGATAAATATCACAGAATCACATTGCAATCTGGAAGATCTGATGAGAATGTGAATGCTACAGGGTGAGTGCTGTTGCTACGTGGGGACTGTGCTGTCTGCACAGAGCTGCTCCTCCAGGAGTTCTCCCTGCAGTGGGGAGGGGAAACAGCTCAGCCCCCCCCTACCTTCCCATACACCACCCAAGCACAGGTGCCTCAACACTTGCACCCCATCAGCACCCATATGCACAAGAGACAGCCACAAGGATGATCAAGGAAAACAAATGAGGCAAATTCACAGGAAGTAGACAATAGTAATTAGACGTTGCCAGTTTTTTCCCAGCACTAATTACATAATCCGTGGCAATACCAGTCACCTTACGTCACTGCCAGCACAGTATATGTTTCCAGGTAAACAGCACTGAAACAAAAGCTCCTTAAGAGCCCGTGTTGTGTGTTAGTGCAGGAGAACAATGGAGCGCTGATTTCCGATAGAGACTGCAGGATAAAGGCTCTGCACTGCAGCCTGGAGCAAATAACACAGCCTTTATCGGCTTCACTGGGAACAGGACTCCCTCCAGCCCTGCCCTACATCTTAATTTCAGCCTCACGGTGATGATCCTGAGCACTCAAAGCACAAAGATGCAGATCAGTGGGGTGGGTGAAAACAGGAAAGGAGACAAAGAGGCGAAGCTTGCAGGCACAGCTTGCAGGGGAAGGCGGTGTTACCTGTTAGGCGGTCGCAGGTGTTGGAGTGGTTGTTGCACTGGCACGGCTCACAGGTGCTGTTGGCTCTGTAATACCCATCACTGCACCGGTCACACTTGAGGTCTGTCACGCCGACTTTGCACCGGCATTTCCCATCGCTGCACGAAGAGGAACAAGCAGTGAAATCATCAGATCACAAAAAGAAACCTTTAAAGGCCATCAGGTCCAACTCCCTGCAATGAGCAGTGGTGCTCAGGTTGGTCCCCTGCAGGAGAAGGGATCAGTGCAGGCACCACAACCCACAGAGCACCCTTGGGCAGCACGGGATGCAGCCCCTGCTCACCCCCTTCCTTCCCCCAGCATTTAGCAGTGCCTGCATCCTATTGTTCTCCCTCACTCCTCCTGGGGAAGCCCAAGCACTGTGCTATTTGCTGCTGAAAGCTCCCAGAAAAATCTGTTGATTCCAACTAATCGAGGCTCCAAACAGCTCAATGTGTTGCTTTTAATTAAAACACGCTACATTGTGATGTTCTGGGAAGACGTTGCTTCTGTTAGAAACGAACATGATTCTGTATTTCTGTTCTTCACTCGCTTGCTAAAGGAAAAGGAAGCACTCCAAGGCACACCAAAATGCAGCAGTCAGCCCGGGAGGCTGCACAATTAAACACTTGAAGAATACAAAATTTCAGGCATATTTAATGGACCGATTACAAGAAGGCAAAAGCGATGTTTCCTGGCTCTTCAGACCATTATCCAGAATTGGAGCGGGCAGATGTGGAATTCAAAGGGATGATGCTGTGAAGCAGCTCCGAATGTTTGACTTTTAAAAAGCTTTTCACAAGACCTGACATTAATCCAAAACGTTGTCACAGCGTTTACAACGAGAGCAAACAGAAAGCAGTTTGTTTTTATTTGCTTCTGGCCACCGCTGGGCAGATATTCCTGTAAGAGGGCAGGGGATGGGCAGAGCCAAGCAGGGAAAAACAACAGAATGGGGATTTCACAGAGTGCAGAGCCCCGTGTTATTGTCCCTTGCACCATGATCCATTGCCCCTTGCCCCATGATCATGCCTATATTTACTGACATCCTCCTGCACCTTTCCTCAGACTCCCACGTTTTTAAAGGTTTATTTCCCTACTGACTCCACTCGATGGAGCATTTTGGGGCAGCGTCCCTTGATTTTACTTGTGAGCTTAAAAATAACAGGAAAGAAAGGTATTTTTATTTAAAAAAAAAAAAAGGTTTTGGAAAGTTTAATTTTAATGGCTCTCAAGCAGACCTTTTCTCAACATGTTACATATGGCACAGATCCAGGTTCTGCATGTGCAAGAATTAAATCACTCAGCAAATATAAAGCTTTCCCTGTGGTCATTGCTTCCACAGAATAAAGCCCCCTTACAACACTCCTTTTCATAGCCCCAGCCCAGTAAGGGCTGTCAGACACTTTTTAAAGCAAAGGTCAATGATATAAATGCGTTGAAACCACAAAAAAAGTCCTGTTAACAGACCGAGTGTGCCCATAAAAATCCAGAAACTTGAAAGAAAAGAGCCACAGTTTAATACTCGCACAGTGAGAACGGAGCTGCATTTTGAGCCAACGCCAGGAATTTCATTTTTGGGGGAGGTGGGGGGAAGGAGGGGGAAGGGAGGAAACATTTTGATGCAGCAACATCAATTGCTCAACTCCATTTCGGAGATTAACTCCACCAAAGCCAGCCAGCTTGTAGCTCTTGACAAAGAAGTGATGTGGGGATGGGATGGGACAGAACCAGGCCCCAAACCCCAGCATCTCAGTCAGCTTTAACCCTGCCCTGGGAGCAGGGCACAAAGGGGGTCCCACCTCTTTAGCATCCTGCCTTGTGCTCGGCAGTGCCTGACACTGCAGAGCATCACAGGTAACTCCCAGCCAGGACTTATGGCTGGGGATGGACACACAGACACAAAGAGCTGTCTGTCCAAACTCCTCACTGCTCAGCACAGGAACTTGAGGCCTCCTTGCAAGGAAAATAATGAAAGCACAAAAATATCTGTGGTCCGAGAGAAATCGCAGCATGCAGCTGTGATGGGAGCTGTGCTCCTGTACAGAAACCCCTAAAGAGAAGGGACAGACGGACACAAGACAGATGGGCACATGAGCAGTGCAGCCTTAGGGCTGTTTGGAGGCATGCTGTGCACGGTTTAATGGTGTAACAGAAAACCCTTAGCAAGCTCCAATAGTTTATTTTCTTCTTCTTTCTTTTCTTTCCCAAGGAGAAGGGAAGGGAGAAATTCGTGCTGAATGTTTTCCCAGCTGCCAGCAAAACACAGATGCCCAGCTGCCATCAGGAGCCCCAGGGCCAACCAATGTGTCCCAGCACCAAACTTTTGTGCTTTCATTTTAAAATTTTCTCTTAATACACAAGGCTGGCAAGACTCTGGAGCAGAGTAAGAAGGAGGGCACACCTACAGGAGTCAGCACAGGGCACAACGTGTGGGTTTCTCATCTCCCTGCTTCATTCAGAAGCACAGAGCATGCACACCTGGAGTAGGAAAAGCCCCCTTGGGTTTCACCTCCCCTTTCTCTCTCCCCCTGGAAGCCCAAACGCTTTTGTGGAAGCGATGCCCAGCTCTGAGTCGCCTTTGTGGCAGGCAGAAGAAGTGGGGCTTTATGGCACAGAACATTGGGCCTTTGTGCACCGCATTCCTCGCACTGTGCCGGGGGAGGGCGCCTGGTTAGAGGGCAGCCCTCGATGGAGGGGGACCCTGAAAGGCTGCTCTGTGAGTGTCAAAGGGCCACCTTGTCCAGCCCTGCCACCGCATCCCCCCACCGGGGACACCCCGCATCCCACCCTGGGAAAGCTGGGGATCTCCACCCCAGCACTGCCTCAGTGCTCAGAGGGAGCTCAATGGGGAGTGCACAATGCCACTGGATACCAGTACTGCCCTACAGAGTGCAGAACTCAAATGCACTCAGAGCAGGATCCAGCCATGGGGAATGGGCTGCTGCCCATGGTTCTGTGCAGTGCAGCCCCTCTGTGCCCCAAATCCATCAATGCAGGGAGAAGGAAGACACAGGGCAGCCTGAAATCAGGCTGAACATCTCCCCAAAACCACAGTGCAGCCATAGGGACTCCAACAGCTGTGCTGGTATCTTTGTGAGGGCAGGCAGTGCTCAACAGAGCAGCAAGCCTGCAACACAGGAACAGCAAAGCCTGTTGGAAAATCAACCAAATAATAAGATTTCTGAGCAGCCCAAATTACTGTAGGGGAGATTATGACAATCTGCTGCTCACTGTTGTGTCCATTCACCCAGTCCTTTCCCTCTCCTTTCTGCATCCCAACACAGATGGGTGCAGGGACAACATCCACCTGCTTGCATAGGAGAACCAGTCAGATGTAAAGCACAGGAGCCGGTAATAGAAGAGATAATAGAAGAGATTGGATAATTAAAGCACGCACACACAAAAAAATCTGCTCTGCCAGGGTATTCTTCTACATTTATGACGTCCACATGTAACAATTTCCGCTATGAAAAAGATCTCTTCTTGGCAGAAGGATGCTGACGAGGCACTGCCTGGAGAATAATGAGCCACTGCTTGTGCTCGGCCGATCCACAAAGGGAGCACAGTGTTTCAGATATGAAATATGGAAAAATGGCTTTTTGGAGCCATTGTTTTGGAAGTCGTTGAGGAGTTGGGCTCCCAGTGTGGTTTACTGGGCTGCTGGGATACAATGGGATGGCAACACAGACCCCACCCTAAAAAATGATATTTCTAAGTGAATGACACTGACGACAGAAAATAAGCATTTTCTGCATGCAGAATGAGAACACCACCTTCCCCCCAACAACTCTCTGAGCTGGGATGGGTGGAGACCCTGGGAACAAGGCTGGGGAAGCTCCACAAATGGCTTTCCATAGATCTGCCTTTTCTAACAAACCCCACATTTCCACCCCACATGGCCTCACACCACAAGAAACCCAGCCTGATTCCAGCTCCTGCCCTGCCCCACTGCCTCCCAGTAAAACTAATGCTCCATGTTCACATTTCCCATGGCCTCACTGCATCCTTCCCCTCCCAAAGAGCTCTGCAAGCCCAGCTCCCCCAGAACCCTCAGGCCTTAGTCAAAGACCTTCACAAAGGGCATTCTGATGCTGCTGCATCACAGTGCTTCTGCAAATCCATCCATGTCAGGATCCCACACAGCCCCTCTGAGCAGAGCCCAGCACACGGAGGGCATGCAGGAGGAGGCTGCTCTCCTTCCAGCCTCACCACATCCCTGCTTGAGGGCACAGCCATGTACAAATGCTCTCAGGGATGCTCTGCTTTAATTCTTTTTAATGCAAACACAAAGCATCAGATCCCCTCGAGGGGGCAAAACATCTCTGAATTAACACTCTGGCATTTATATGCATGCATTATCTTTTTTTTTTCTTTTCTTCTCAGAATGGAAGCAAGTGACAGCAGATCTTTGCTACATGCCTTACACCAGCCTGAGGCAGGAAGCATGGCTGCACCAAGACCACACCTCAGAGCTGCCAGGCTGGCAGTGAGCAGAGCAGCATGCAGGCTGCAGCCCAGGGCACGAAGCAAACTGCAAAGGCAGCACATGGAGCTCGCGCTCTCCACTGCCCTTCTGCTTGTGGGGAAACTGAGGCACGGGCAGTGGGACTGAATTATCAAACATTGCAGAGCCCCATTTTAACATATTCCTGTTTTGGGACACACAACCACACTGCACTCTTGTCCCTAAAGTCCCACCAGGTGCTTTCCTCCACCAGCAATTTCTCTGAACACAGTGATAAGAGACAACTTCATAGAAAGGACAAATGGGGAACTGAGCCCTGAGCCCTTCTGCAGGGCAGTGCTGTCTCACAGCATCTCTCCATGTCACATCCCAACGCACAGAGTGTGACAACAGCCACACGGGGCCGCCTGCTCATGTGCCACCAGGAAGAAAAGCCAGCAGGTGCTGTGTGCCATGCTGTGAACTCCCAGCAAGATGCAAACACCGCTGCACTGTGGGGCTCAGGGACCTGCAGGGCTGCCCAGCATTGCCCAGGGAATGACACAAAGTCCTTCAGCACCTCCTCTTTGTGGGCTGCCTCCTGCAGCCTGGAACCCTGCATTACTCCCTGAGTCATACAGAGGACAGGTTTCCACAGGAAGGCTGTTTCACCATCCCCTGAGATAGCCTCTGCAGCAGGAGGAGGCTCTGACCGCTCCCATCCTGTGCTCTGGGCACGGTTCCCAGCAGGAGCATCACACCCAGCAGGGTGCAGGATGGGCAGGCAGGCACAGCTCTGCACAGCAGGTGCCAACCCAGTGGTGCCAGGGGATGTCAGCACAGCCCTGCTGACAGCAGCACCCAGCCCCGCTGACTCACAGCCTGCAGAGGGGACTCCCAGATAGAGAACTAAAACTAAAAGCGACCTTTGATTAGCAGCTGCGGAGCCCAGGCATGGCAACAGCATGTCAGGTCAATGTTCACTCCCCAGATCAATGACTTGCCTGAGGAAAGGGATTTTTATTTTTTATTTTTATTTGCGGTCTAGTTAATAAACAGCATTTTGGCTGGCCAGATGATGGCACACGGATAGAGCACGCCTGGAAATAATACCAATAACAATCATACGGCGCTGCTTTAAAAGGCACTCTGGCAAAAGTCTGAGCAAGCTGACAGCAATGCATCACACATGTTCTGCTGCCCTGAGCTCCCAGCTCCAGGCGGGCAGAAATCAGCAGCTGCAGGAGCTGCTGGAGGCCACATCCATGCTGCTGCTCTGCTCAGAACAGCAGGTGTTCTTTTTCTTAAACCAGGGTGCAGGAATTAACCTGTGCAAGTTAACACTTGGCTGCTGCTTTAATCAGTTCTAATAGTAATAATAGCAATAATAATAACAGTCATAAACAGCTGGCAGTATTTTTAATGTCAACAAAGCAGGAACTGGCTGTTGCTGTGCCTGGTCCTGAGCAGGGTGGAAAACTCCACACCCCCAAGAGCCACCTTTTCAATAAGAAGGTCACCCCAGCCAAGTGCAGAAGTGCATTTAGGCTTTGATTTTTCAATCATGTACGCCACCAGAAAAGGGCAAATAATGCAGGGTTTGGGTGCTTGGAAAAGAAATAAGGCATAAAATTCTTACAGACAGCATGTCCCTGCAGGACACTGCGGCTCTGACTCAGCACCAGCCTTGGCAGCAGAGTGCAGGTGTTGAGCACAGAGGGCGCCCGGACCAAACCCCAAAAGACAACAAGAGCAATGCCAGCACAGCAGAACATCCGGCAGAGGAGCACATTCGTTATGCAGCAATTCAGGAGCATCTGCAGCAGCTCTCTCAGGTTAAATGAGGCTGGGTTAAAGCCCAGGCAGGGAAAGAAGCCACAGGGTGGATGAGGGCAGACCCCGGTGCCACACCTGCCCCTGCCACCACCGATAACCTCCAATTAGCACCAGCCAACATGACCCATCTACAGGCACTGGGTTGGAACGAGATGATCTCTGAGATCCCCAAGATATTCCACAACCCTATGATTCATACCTGCTCTGCATCTCAACCCCCCCCCCCCCCACCCAGCCCACCACATCATCCCCACCTGGGGTCGTTTGGTTACTCACTCATCGCAGCTGGGTCCGAGGGCACCAGTAGGGCTGCAGGCACAGGGCAGGCAGTGCTGCTGGCTGTGGTCGTGGTGGAAGCCATGGGCACAGTGCTCGCAGTGCAGCCCCGCATAGCCTGGCAGACAGGTGCAGCGTCCCGGAGTGTCGTGGCACCCACTGCTCCCCACAGCACTGCAGTTGCATAGCTCTCCTGCAAGAGGGAAAGAGAGGCTGAAAGGGGTGTGTGGAGGGCACGGGGATTGGGTCACAGCCATATTATAGCCGCTTAAATATATGTACACACGCATATAATCATGTTTGTCGTTGTCTGGTTATATGGTTGGTCAGGAGCTGAACAACATTAGGTGATAGCAGGGTAAGATAACAGTGCTGCTGGTCCTGGGGAAGCTGCTCCGGGTGGCCCAGGTTTAGCAGAGCAGCTCCAGGGATCCCTCCCAGCCTCAGCCAGTCTCTGAAAACCATTAGCAGGTGATGAACCCATTAACTGTAAGATCCTCCACTTCCCATCTCTAGCTTACCACTGGGACTGTCCTTACAACAAAGACATCTTCAACACAGCTATATGGTGCACCAGGTGGGACCACTGCTCATGGCGAGAGGATATAAAATCCCCCAACAGCTGAACAGATTTGAGCTCCGTGCATTCAGGGCTAAGCATCCTCCTTTTTCCATTGCAGGTCCCAACTGCAGCAGCCCAAGCTCCCTGCAAATCTGTGCTCCGTGCCAGAAACAGCTTTAACCAAGGGGTGATGGAGCTGGGCAGTAGAGACCTGCTTGCCTTGCCCATGACATGATGGCCACCACCAGCTGCCCATGAGCTTTATGGACCCATACATGTCCTTTGGAGACCCACATGTCCTCACCCACATATGAGCTCCAGGGATGCTTATCCTTCACAAGGCTATAAGACCAAGCAGTCAATGTTTTAAGAGAGGAACAAACCTGAATCAGCAGTGCCTTCCCAGTCCCCACACACTTTATTTCTTGTACTATTTCCAAGTACCTAACACAGCAAAGAGAACAACCTCCCCAGCAATTTGTTTCTGACACGAGGTTTATCTCCGCTTCTTCACTGCAAAGTATTTGGTGCCTTAATAATTTACAGTCTTTTACTGCCAAGTGTGAATTATAAACAAAGATTATTTTCAGAAAGAGCACATCAGGGCTTTACGCAAGCACTGCTGTTTGTTATTGCCTGAGGAAAGCCACATTTGGGGCACCTTGCAGAAAAGAGAGGACAGATCCCCAGCACACAAAAACCTGACTTCAACCAAGCTCTGAGCACCCCATGAAGACCCAAGGATGCTGCTCAATGTCAGTGCTAGGACCTAAGGTTATTTATCACCTACACTGTGTGCTTGTGCCCCAGTGAACCATGGGTGCTTGTTAAATACCTCACCATGCTTTGAATGCTTGTCTGCTTTCTCTCAACATACGTACATCTCAAAAAGATGAGTTATTTGGCTTTGCCACTCCATCCGGGAAGTCATCCCCATGGAATTCACTTGGTGCCTATGCACCTGTGAGGCTGATGCCAGCAAGTAGGACAAACACCCAAAAACCCACAACCACCCCTCCAGAACCTACTTCACACAGGAGCCCAACTCTCAGCTCAGTGAACCCAGTGGAACCCCATCCATGTGGGTACTGGGCTTTTGCCAGAGCGAGGCATGAAAACATGCACTGAGCCAACGCAGCACCTGCACTGGAGTCTGTCAAAAACACATCAAAATCCCTCTCAAATCTCAATCCGTGCTGTAGCTGACAGGGCTGTGCTGAAGGAAGGGATCAGCCTGGCTTTGTGGTCACGATGTGCAACAGGACAGGAGACAAATGGGAGGTAAGAGCTGGGGCTGGGCCACCCCCAGGCACTGCGATCCCAAACAGCCTGGCTGCAGGCTGAGCTCAGCAATGGTGTCAGCTACAGATCTTGTACATCATGCCATTTTCCTTCCACGGGCAGGGCCGAGGCTCCCTCGGGCTTTGGGAGCTGTATGCCTTCCAACACACACTATCATCTGGGTGCCTTTTTTTTTTTTTTTCCTCCTCCTTTTCTTTTGCAGGTCTTTGCTCATCAAAACTGCACAAAGTCAGGTCCAAACCCAGGGGCAGCTCAGCTCCAGCAGCCGAGCTCAACAGCAATGCAAACAGCACTGGCTCCACATTCCCCATAGAGCAAGCAATGCTGCAAGAATCCAAACTAACACAGGCAAAAGGAGCTTTGTGTTGGCAGGCTGGAGGGAGTGCTGAACCCAGGAAATAACTGTCCCTGGGTGCAAGGCACAGCACCACAGGGCCAGCACACATCTCCCCGGGGGTGGCCGCCCCATGTGCCTTCCTCCCTCGAGCACCCAGGAGGACTTTTGGGAACAGAGAAGCATCACACATTGTACCCCAAGGACAAAAGTCCACTCTGCTGCACTCGGCTGACGGATTCCAATCGTGCCCTCAATGCCCTTTGGTGGGAAGCAGAGGAGCAGCAGACAGCAGCGTCAAAACCCGGCGGCGAGCACAGCGTCAGGGTTTGACATGATGATGTACCAGACTATGAAAACCCCAGGCTTAATTCAGATAACACTTTGGTGTCCTGACGGCTGCCGGGTTGGAGAAAGCAAATGCGATCTGCAGGCAGAAAGGGAAAGTGGTTACAAAGCCTCTGCCTTTGAGGTGTGGGAATACATCACAGAAAGTGGGGATGGGAGGAAAAGATAAGGGAGCACTGCCCTGGCTCCTGGCTTGACCTGGGTACTCAGAGCCTTTATTCTGTTCTGTCAGGCAGACATATTGCTTTTGAAGATAACCTTCACAAACGCCTTACCAAGAGCTTCTGCCTAATGAGACGGGTCAGAGGAAGCTGGGCTGGAGGTACCAGGTTTGGCTGCACATTGCCTTCAGCAGCAGGCACAGCAAAGCCCCCAGGGCCACAGCTCTGCTCTGAGCTCCTCACCATGCTCTGCTCCTCGCTGCCTCAGTTTCCCCACCCACAGCTCCATTTCCCCATTTCTAAAGCATCACAGTTTCCTTCCCTTCCTTCCTTCCCAAAGCACTCAGCTCTCAATGATAAGAACCACCACCTTCGCTCACGAAGGTGTTGGCAGGCTCTAATTAACGAGGAGCCCAGTGACACTGTGAGATCCCTGAATAGAGGCACTATAAAAGCGTGCACCCTTCCCACATACTGCTACTCCTCCAGCCAAAAAAAGGAAACATCACTCCCTCCATGAGCTGCATTTCAACCTTCGCCATTCACTCCCAGATCCATGGAGGCAGCTGGAGGAACGGAGCAGGTTCCCAACACTCTGCAGCAACAGGCACGCTGCTCACGGTGCAGGAGACCCAGATTTAAAGTGCAATTACAGCCAGCAGCAAGCCTGAATTGAGTAATTATTATGCAAAAGTCATAGGTTGCCAATAAACCGGAGATGAGTTACTCCTGGATTTTCAGCCTACTGGATGCACACAGCCGCTGTAGGATTACTGAAAGTTCTGCTCAGCAGCACCAACACAATGAGGAACCCGCTGGGATCCGTGCACGCACTGATGGACCAAACACATCCCCAGCCATGCCCTGAGGCACAGAACACAGAACACAGTGCTGAGCCCAGCACTGAGCCCCAGGGCTGCTTTTAGTGAGCATTTCTAATGCGTGCACAGCACAGCCCCCAGCAGGCTGTCCTGAAGGGCTCATTGCAGTGCAAGAAATGTTTTTTGAATCTTTTTTTTTTTCTTCTGCCTCCTATTGGACATGCTGTGGTTTTGGTCCTTGCATGCGCATTAAGCATGCCTCCTTCTTCCAACTGTGGCACTTAATGAGTAAATAATTTAAAAGCCGCTGAAATATTCACAAAACAGCAAAAGAAGAAATCGCTGTGAGACGCATCAAGACGCCTGCATAAAATCTATATTTGCTGGGGACATCCTTAAACACCTTAAATCCTGAACAAAATCCCCAACTCGCTGGGAACCAACACACAAAATTTCTTTGTAACTCCACAAGCCCCATGAATTCTATCCATTGCCCAGCCCTAAGAACTTTCCCACGGACACAGCCATTATCTGTCCCCAGGACTGCTTTGATCTCCCAGATGTTACAGCAGCACTGACTGCACCTCCGCGTGCTGCAGTGTGCTCACTGCACACAGTAACAGCTCGCCCTGGGAAGGCTCAGTGATGCTGTTCATTCAGCACAAGCTTCTCCTTGCATTTCATCCCCAAACGCAAGCTCTGCCTGCCCTCCCCTTCTCCCTTGAGTCCAACCACAGTTCCACACAACTCCACCCAAACTCTATGGCTAAGAGTGATGTCCCAACACACCCTGAGCTCCAGCATCAGGGCTGTGCCCATCACCCTCTCACACACAGCCTTTCCCAGCCCCAGCCTGGCAATCCCCTGACACAGCTCCTCACCATGAATTCTTGCATGCTGCCAGCACACAGAGCAGCACTGCTCATGTTAATGCTGTTAAGAGCTTTACAGGAATCACTTGTGTCGTTCCATAAAAGGATTGCGTGGGTCAATAGGGGAGAAAAGACAAGGATTTCTCAATGCTTATACACCGCTTGTAATATCGTTAAAAAGATTAAATGTGTTTGTCGAGGAAAATTAAATCAGATTAAATCCATCTCTTATCACTTGGAAAGAAACACAACGTCAAGGTGCCAGCTCTGGGTCGCCAACAGCACTTCCAGCAGCGTGGGGCAGGCAGCTGGGGTGCAGACAAGACAGTCACTGCTCAGCTGCTCCTGGGCTTCCAAGGGCTGCGTATGGCTCCTGGCCATCCCCATCCCCTATCCGAGCACAACAAGCAGCAGCAGGCCTTAAGCAAACTCAAAGATGTGGAGGATGAGTTATTTTTATTCCTTTCCTGCACCTGCAGTCAGACATCCAGGCATTTGGATTCCTAGCAGTTGGTGAAAGCTCCTCCGTGCAGCGCAGGCACGAAGCAATTTGTTGTTCTGCTGTCCTTTTTGATGCTGAACAAGCCAGCAACCTGCACAGCAAGCTTTGAACCGGCTCCTTCCTGAGCAACATGTGTCAAAGCAGCCAGACACACAGGTGTGCAGCTGAAGCATCAAACCCTGCAGACAGGCACAAGATCAACTAACAAACAGGTTACACGACCCATCAGCCCTGCTGGGACAAAAAGCCCTGGGAAGCTGGGATCCCACCACCATGGGGAGAGGTTTGCAC